AGCCCGATGCGGGACTCGATCCAGGGACTCCAGGATCATGACCTGAGCCGAAGGCAGTCGCTTAACCAACTGAGCCACCCAGGCGCCCCTGAGATTAAATATATAGATAATTTAATTCTTGGATTCCGTGAGACTTTTTCCCTCCCTTTTTTCTCTAAATAACTTAATGCCGATGTTCCATGTGATCAATCATTCAACATTGATCTCCCATCATTCTTGACACTGTGCTAGGACTTTTGGATACAAGGTGAGTTCCTTCCCTTCAGAACCTCAGGGTGTCCAGGGGAGGTCAGATATGTAAACAGATGAGCTACAGTGCACTTAACAAGTTCTCTAATGCACCTGTAGTTAGAGAACTGTTGGGAGCAGTAGGAACTAAATGCCTGGGGGGAGTAGGGAAGACTTCAGGGCAGAAGTGACTTTTCAACTGGGCTTTGGAGGAAGAAAAGGAGTTTTACAGGCAAGTAAGACTAGGCAAAGGACAGGCCAGGTAGAGAGAGCTGTGTGTGAAAGCATGGAGCCATGAAAGGCTCGGTTGGTATGGGCAGGAGGCTGGAAAGCTGAGTTGGAGCTGTGAAAGGCAAGTCAAGTTTGGATTTTATTCTACAAGCCACAGAGAGTGTTAGATGAGTATTAGATACATCAGAGAGTATTAGATACATCAGATACATACCATGGTCGGTGTTGGAGTTAGAGAGTGGAGACAGATGTCATCCTGGGGGTGGCTTTATTTTGGCGGGATCACTATGTTTCAGGATCTGGTTCTCAGTTTCATAGTCCTAAAATTCAGTTTTGTAGGGCACTCGGAGCTTATTGGATCCAGGCAGACTGACTCATTAACCAAACTTGGAAGAGACTGATGCATAAACTCAGGGTATTAACTGGCCATGAGAAATGAAACTGCAGAATGACAGATGTTCTGTCCTCTGGCCATCCCCCCACCCCCACCCCTTCTGGCCAGGGCTGGGACATATTAACAAACTCTTGCTCCTCAATTCCTGTTTGTTTTTCTCAGGCTCATGAAAACTCATCCTTTTTGTTAACATAATCTTTACTTAAGCTCCATAGAGTATGGCCAACCATGATTATTAATTGATAGAATGCATGATTCTGTATGGTGTGGGTTGGATCGTATGTTTGTGAATCTTAAGGAAGAGGAAGAATAACTTTTTTAGAAATAAAATACTGGAAAAGGGGGTTCCTCAGACTTGGTATCCAGATTCTAAGTGGTGTGGGTAGTCTTGTACCCAAAGGGTG